GCGTAATGACGATACAGTGGTTATTAAAGTCCAGTAATAGTTAAGAAGGTGAAGCCTGGCTCTGTAGCTTTGTGCCCGTATTCTTTTTAGCATAGAGGTTTTGGTTTGGTTTTGAACTTTACGGCATATCAACGACTGATCCAGTCTTTTCCGACAAGATTTTTAGGACGAAATCCCTGATGAATAGAATATAATTCTTTATTGGTAAAAATCAGTTTGGTTTGATTTATTCTTTTTCCGGCATTTCAACCTTAATAGATTTTAATGGCCGTTCATTATTTTTTGATTAGAATATTTTTTTCCCAAATGAAGCTACAAATATTTTTTTCCCTTCCAAAATGTATTGATCAGTTCGATAATCGCAAAAAAATATATTGATGATAATATTTTTTCCTGAACGACATTCAGTCTTTTTTAACTCAAGCGAATATGGCTGGTTTAATTCTTCCTCAAAAAAAACTTGGTTTCTATTAATCAAATTTTAGACTTTCATAGTGTTTTCCATCAGCATGACGATGCTGACCCCAGAAAAAGATCAAAGATTTTTGCCTTTTTCAAGTAACGAAATAACTTATAACCATTCTTTTTCAAATTTTCAAATGACCAATTGTTAATATAGTTTTTTCCTATAAAAAAATATTATTATCATTTTACTATAAAATTTTTTTTTCATAAAGACATAATTTTCGGTTATTGATAAAATTTGTATTTGTCTTTGAAATAACGAATCTAAAAAATAAATTGTTCATTTTGAATAAAATCCTGATTCTATTTTTTTATTATAAAATTATTTTCGATATTGTTTTTCATGGGGACAAATAAAATCAAGAAAAATAAAATGCTTCATGTGATCATTTTTCACAAAGTTTTAATTGATCATTTTCCTAAAAAACTTGGGTTCGTTTATGTTGAAATAAATTAAAAAGTTGATATTATACAAATTAAGTTCTCAAAAATAATTGATTACTATTTTTTAAAATAAATATTTGTTAATGTGTTTATAGGCTAAAAATTTCAGCACCACATAGCAGTAGTTGAATAATGATATAAACATCTAGTATTTCTCAATGAACATACGAGAAATAATGAATACCAAATAGTAGATATATTTATTATTCAAAAATATTTAAACGAATGGCAGTTCTCAATAGCTCCATTAAAATGACAATTTTATTACCTGTAACTTTTGTATGAAGGGTCATGTTCATTAATGTCCAGATTATTATTCAAGACCAATAAAAGTATATTTTTTATTTAATTTAATTGACACACAATTTTTTCATGTTTTTTGATTTTAGGTGCTGAATTAATTCAGGGATATTCAAAAAATTCTCCAGTTTATCTTTTATTCTGTTCTTCCAAAATTATATATGTAAGCCGTTTTGTATCAATATATGAATTCTTGCCTTTTATTTTACCGTGAATCCAGTCTTTCTCATTTGCTTTTACCGGCGGAGATGATGGATGGATACATAAATGAACTTAATGATAGACTTAATTCACGGACTCAGATATAGAACAATTGCGAAATAGATAAATGATTAAAACATGCTTTGGGCCAATGAATTTTTATTGTGGGGATAAATCAAAATTCACTGGAAAATATGTTTAAACCGGTTTGCTTACCTCCAATAATTTTTACCACGATTGGCTTCTTCAATTGTGCTCTTTTTTTAATTTTTTTTTTTTAACTGCAACTTTGATCGTCATTATGTCATTGTCAAAACTTTCGCTAATCAAACCCTCTTTTAACAATTATGTTTAATAGAATGTCAAACTGGTCAAAACATGAAATTTTATTTACCCCATAGACATATTCATTTATCCGGATTTTCGAATAGACTTTATATGGTCATATTATTTTCAGTAAATTCAAAATTCTTATCCAAAATGCTCAAAATTGTATTTTAATGGATACATAAGGATTTTTGATTTTTTTAAAATTCATTGATTAAAAAATATTTAATAAAAATTCATAAATTTCTTAGTTTATCTTATGTGGGTTTTAACAGGAACTATATGGATTAATAAATAAGCGTCATTATTTCTTTAGAAATTCGATGCAAAACTGGGCAAATATAACGCACTAGAATCAAAATAAAAAAGGTGTGCTTAAGGAAGTATACAGTTCTCTGCTCATAATGGCACTCTTCATAGACGAGTCGGTTAACGCACGTCGGATCTAGCAGTTTCTCTTGTTCAGGGACATATGTTGGGAGCAAGTGCCTTTTATTTTTAATAAGATTTTTCGAATATTAAAGTACTAAAAAGAAATAGCATATTAGTATAAGTGCATTATATATATATATATATATATATATATATATATATATATATATATATATATATATATATATGTATGTATGTATGTATTTATGTATGTATGCATGTATAAAAAAATAATAGTAAATACTAATTCAAAACTGTTTATTAATTATCAAATAAAATAAATATCTATCTAAATATCTCACAGTCTTTTTCTATCAATCTGTCTGTTTCAGTCTTTTTTATTCAGTAGCGATCTCTATGAAAATTCTTATATAGATAGATGAAATAGATAGGATAAATACGGGGATCAGATAGATAATGAATGAAAGACAGATAGAAAATAAGATATTGATAGATAAATGGATGAAGATGATAGATAGATAGATAGATGGAAAGATAAATAGATAGACTGAATGATAGAAGATATATAGATAGATAGATAAATAGATGAAAAATCGATATCATATATATGAATAGAAAATAATATAAAGATAAATAGATAGATAGATGAATAGATAGATAGATAGATACTTAAAATAGATAGATAGATGAAATGACTATAGATAGATAGATAGATAGATGAATGATAGATAGATGAATAGATAATAGATGGAATAAATATATGGATAGATAAATTAGATAGATGTTAATATATATATAAGATAGATAATGAATGTTTGAATATATTTAAAGATAAATAAGACTATGAATAGATTCAATAGATAGATAATAATCTGAATGGATAGATGATAGATACAATAAAAAACTTTCATATATAATAGATAGATTAAATAGATCATAGATTAAATAATATGATAGAAGATACAATTTAAATTTAATATCTTTTTCAAGATAGATATTCATTTATGGATGAATATTTATAATGAAATAATGAAATTTAACACAACAACAAATAAATGAATTTTATAATATGAATTGCATGGATAGATAGAAAATATATTATAAAACTTTAATTTGTTTAAAATAAAATTAAGATTGATAACAAATATTAAAACAAAAATAAATAAAATAAAAAATTTATATGGATACATTAAAATGATATATAAATATATAAATAGATATATATATATATATATAATAATATTATATACAATAAAAATTTTATACATATTAAGATAACCCATTGAGGTATATATTTATAAAAAAAAAACAAACTAAATACATTTAATATAGTTTTGATGGAATAGATAAATTAAAATATTCAATAGAAATCAATCTTTTTTTTTTTTGATAGATATACATTGAGGTTGATATGATATATATTTAAAACAAACAATATATAAGATAGATAGATTGATATAGATGGATATATATATATACCAAATATTTTTTGCAATACAAAAAATTTTATATATTAGATAAAAATAAATAACCCATTATTTATGAAAAGGTTAATGTAAAATAGATAAAAAAAAAACGAAAAATATATAAGATAGATACAAAAAAATATAAATGAAAATAGATATAGATAGATGGATATTCCAGCAATAAAAATTTTATATAGAATTATGATAGAAATTTGAGGTTGATATGCCGTAAAAAATAAACAAACCAATATATATATAGATATATATGATAGATAGATAGATATAGATTTATTATGAAAAAATTTATCATATTAGATAACCCATTAAAGTTGATATAATATAAACGTAAAACAAACATACCAATATATAGATTAAAGATAGATAGATAAATGAATAGATAGATATTACCAGCAATAATATTTTATATATATAAATAAAATTAGTTGACAATTGAAAACAATGAATTAATTGCCAAATCAATATATAGATAGATATTATCAAAAAAAAATATTGAAAATATATAGATATGATAAAAATGGACCAAATAAAAATTTTGAATGAATGAAATAACCCATTTTGTCTATTTACAAAATTGAGGGTTGAATGACAAAAAAAAATTCAAACCAATTTTTATATTAAGATAGATATGATAATAGATAGATAGATAGATATATATAGATATACAATAAAAATTTATTAAATTAGATAACCCATTATTTAAATGATATGACGTAAAAACAAAAATAAACCAATATATACTGAAGATAGATAAATAGATAAAGATGAATGATAAATAATAAATTAATAAAAATTTTGGTCAATATTGAAAAACCCATTGAGGAAATATATGAAATAAATTAAAAAACAAACAAATTTATGAACAAAGATAGAATATAGATAGATAGATAGATAGATAGATAGATAATACAATAATAGAAAATTAAAAAGATGATAAATAAATGATATTGAGGTTGAATATGAGATAGATTATAAACAAATATAAGATAGATAGATAGATAAATAGATAGATAGATAGATAGATAGATAAATAAACAATGATATACCAAATAGATAGATAAAAATAGATTTTAAGTATTAGATAATGAAAAAAGGATCAAATTGATATATTTTAAAAACGAAAAACAAAAAAGATGAAGAAATAAGATAGATAGATAGATAGATAGATAAATAGATAATGATAATAGATGAAGCAATAAAAAATATAGATATTATTAATACCTCATGATATGATAGATTGATACAAAAGATAATATAGATGAAAATAGAAGATAAAAATGAAAGATAGATAGATAGATAGATAGATAATAAATAGATATGATAGATAAAATAAAATTTTGAAGATAGATAGATGGCCTGATAGATAGATAATTGATGATAAATAATTTAAAAAAAAATAGATAGATAGATAGATAGATAGATAGATACAAGATAGATAGATAGATAGATAGATAGATATATGAGCATGAAAAAATTTAGATCATTAAATAAAATTGAAATTGATATGATAAAAACAAAAACAAACCAATATATAGATAGATAGATAGATAGATAGATAGATAAATAGATATATCCAACTAAAAAATTTTCAGATAGAAAGAAAATGGATTGAATTGATATGACAAAAAGATAAAACAAATAATAAATAGATAGATATATAAGATAGATAGATAGAAAAAATAATAACCAACCAACAAAAAAAATTTTGTTATTAGATAACCCATTGAGGTTGAGAAATTTTAAAAACAAAACAACCAATAAACCATATATATCAATAGATAGATGAAAATATAATAGATGGATAGATAGATATGATAGCAATATAAAATGAAAATCTTGTCAGCATTAAATAATGATAGATAGGTTGATATGAACGTAAAAAAAAAACAAACCAAAATTTTCAAAGAAGATATATATATATAGATGAAATAGATAGATATAAATAAAACAAACCAATATACCAGCAATAAAAATTTTGAAAAAAGATATGGATATGATATTCTGTAGAAACAAAACAAACCAATATATAATAAGATAGATAGATAGATAGATAGATAGATAAATAAATAAAAATAAAAATGAACATTAATATAATTATATTGATATGATATGAAAATAAATTAAATCAATATTTGATAAAATAAAAATATTTAAAATAGATACCTATAGATGATAAATTATATAGATAGATAGATGATATATAAAATAAACCAATATAAAATATAAAACATTAAAATAGATAGATAGATATAAGATAAAAAATTTTGAGGTTGATAATATCATTGGTTGAAAAAACAAAACAAAACCAAACCAATATATATTAAGATAAAAAGATTATAGATAGATAGATAGATATTATAGCAATAAAAATTTTGTGTTTATTAAATAACCCATTGAGGTTGATATGATAAAAAAAAAAAACAAATATATATACTAATAGAATAGATAGATAGATGAATAGATAGATAGATAGATAGATATATATCAAAAACTAATAAAAATTTTTTGTATTAAATAACCCATTGAGGTTGATAAAAAATAAAACAAAACAAACCATATATATAGAAGAAAATAAATATATATAGATAAGAATATTTAAATAAAAAATTTCTTCTTTGTCAAAAAAAACAAACCCACCATACTTTTGATATGAATAAAAAAAAAAAACCAATAATATTTTATAGATAATAGATAGATAATAGATAGATAAATACAAATATGTCAAATAAATAAATTTTATATGGTTCTTTTAAATAACCCATTGAAATAGAATGATGACGTAAAACAAAACAAACCAAACCAATATCTAAGATAGATAGAATAGATAGAGAAATATATTTTTTACCAAAAATTTTGTCAGTAAAATAACCCATTAAATTGATATATATAAAATTAAACCATAAATATAAATATATATAAATAAATGAAAATAAAAATTTATATATTAGATAGATAGATGTTGATATGACGTAAAACAAAACAAATAAAAAAATAGATTGTCACCATTGATATTCTATTAATAAAAAAATAAAAATTCCAATCACATTAAATAAAAAATGATTTTATATTGAAATAAAACAAAAAAAACCATGATAAATATAAAGATAGATAGATAATAGATAGATAATATTACCATATAAAAATTTTGTCAGCATTAAATAACCCATTGATGAATGATATATAAAACAAAAAACAAAATAAACCAATATAAAGATAGATAGATACACAATAGATAGATAGATAAATAATGGATATTATTATCAATAAAAATTTTGTCATTATTATTAACCCATTGAGGTTGATATTATACTAAAAAAAAACAAACCAATATATACTAAAAGATAGATAGATAGATAGATATAGAATGAATAATAAATATTACCAAGCAATAAAAATTTTGTCAGCATTAAATAACATCATTGAGGTTGATATGACGTAAAAAAAAACAAACCAAATATTTATAATATAGATAAGATAGATAGATAGATAGATAAATACCAGCAATAAAAATTTTGTCAGTATTAAATAACCCATTGAGGTTGATATATTTATAAAACAAAACAAACCAATATATACAATAAGATAGATAGAAAATAGATAGAATAGATAAATGATAGATAAATAAAAATAAAAATTTTGTAAAATTAAAAAAATTTGAGGTTGATATGACAAAACAAAACAAACCAATATATACTAAATATATAGATAGATAGATAAATAAATGATAGATGAATCAAAAAAAAATAAAAATTTAAAAATTAATAACCCATTGAGGTTGATATGAAAAAAACAAAACAAACCAATATATATACTAAGATAGATAGATAGATAGATAATAGATTAAAAAATATTTACTTTTACCAACAAAAAAATTTTGTCATTATTATATAACCCATTGAGGTTGATATACGTAAAACAAAACAAACCAAAAATACTAAAATTTTAATAATAATATTAAAAATAGATAGATAGATAATAAATTTACCATCATTAAAAAAATATTTTAAGTATTAAATAACCCATTGATATAAAATGACGTAAAAAAAAAAAACAAACCAATATATTACTAAGAAAGATAGATAGATAGATAGAAGATATCAAAAAAAATATTCAATCTACTTAAAAATTTTGTCATATTAAATAACAAAACAAATTGAAATTGAAAAAAAATAAAAATTTTTAAACCAATATATACTAAGATAGATAGATAGATAATAGATTTAGATAGATATTAATACTTTCAAACCATAAAATTTTGTCAGTATTATATAACCCATTGATTTTGATATGACAAAAAAAATAAATCAGTTTTTTAAATAAAAGAAGATAGATAGATAGATAGATAGATAGATAGATAGATAGATATCAAAACCAATAAAATTTTTTATTAGAAACATTTTGTTTTAGATAACCAAATTGAAGGTTGATAAAATTATAGATTAAAAACAAAAACAATAAATAAAGATAGATATTTATTAAAATTAGATAAATAAACAAAACAAATAAAAAGATTCTTGAAGATAGAAAGATTATTTTACCAAAAAAATTTTGAAAATATTAATAATATATTGAGGTTGATATGACAAAAAAAAAATAAACCAAACCATATATATAGAAAAGATAGATAGATCTATAGATAGATGAAAATATTACCAGACAAAAAAAATTTTGTAGTATTAGATAACCCATTGAGGTTGATATGACGTAAAAAAAACAAACCAATCAAATAAAAGAAAGATAGATAGATTCAGAAATAAAATAACAATGAAATAAATTTTTAAAAAATTATTTTCAAAAAGGTTGATATGACGTAAAAAAAAAACAAACAATAATATATAATATAGATAGATAGATAATAGATAGATAGATAGATATTATTTTTCTAAAAAAAATTTTTTGTCAGATTTATTAGATAACCCATTGAGGTTGATATGACGTAAAAAAAAAATCAAAACCAAACCAATAACAAAAGATAGAAGAAAAGATAGATAGATAGATAAAATATTACCTTTATATAAAATTTTAAATATCATTAGATAACCCATTGAGGTTGATAATGAAATAAAAAAAACAATATATTTTCAAAATAATATATATTAAGATAGATAGATAGATGAATCAAATAGATAGAATAATAGATATTATATAAATAAAAATTTTGATAGCATTAGAAAACCCATTGAGGTTAAAATGACTAAAAACAAAAAAACAAAATAATATATATATATAGATAGATAGATAGATAGATAGATAGATAGATAGATAATGATACCAGCAAAAAAATTTTGTCAGTATTAGATAACCCATTGAGGTATGAATAAACAAAGATAAAACAAAACAAATAAATATAAGATAAAGATAGATAGATAGATAGAAAGATAGATAGAAAAAAAAAATTTAACATTAAATAATATATTTTTTGATATGATAAAAAAAAAAAATAATTTAAGAAGATAGATAGAATAGATAAAATAAAAAAAAAGATTACCATAAATAATAATCAACCATTAAAAACAAAAAAATTGATATGATAAAAAAAAAATAAAATCAAACCAATAATTATAGATAGATAGATAGATAGATATGATAGATATTACCAGCAAAAAAAATTTGATAGATTAGATAACCCATTGAGGTTGATATACGTAAAAAAAAATAAACCAAACCAATATAAAGATAGATAGATAGATGAATAGATAGATAGATAGAATATTACCAGCAATAAAAATTTTGTCATTATTAGATAACCCATTGAGGTTGATATGACGTAAAAAAAAAAACAAACCAATAATAAAAATCGAAAAGATGAGATAGATAGATAGATAGATAGATAGATTAAGATAATAATGAAAACAAAATAAAAAGCATAATAAAAATTTTTTCAGTAAAAAAAAAACCCAATAAATTGAGGTTGATATGACGTTTGTTCATGAAAAAACAAACCAATATATACTAAGATAGATAGATAAGATAGATAGATAGATAGATAGATATTACCAGCAATAAAAATTTTGTCAGTATTAAATAACCCATTGAGGTTGATATGACGTAAAACAAAACAAACCAATATATATAAAATAATAAAAAGATAGATAGATAGATAGATAGAAATAGATAGATATTACCAAAAAAAAAATTTTGTCGGTATTAAATAACCCATTGAGGTTGATATGAAATAAAACAAAAACAAAAAACCAATATATACTAAGATAGAAAATAGATAGATAGATAGATAGATTACCAGCAATAAAAAAAAAAATTGTCGGTATTAGATAACCCATTGAGGTTGATATGACTAAAACAAACAAAACAAACCAAATATACAAAAGATAGATGATAGATAGATAGATAGATATTAATAGATAGATAGATATTACCAAAAAAATTTTTTCAGCATTAAATAACCCATTGAGGTTGATATGATAAAAAAAAACAAAAAATAAAACCAAATATATATAAGATAGATAGATAGATAGATAGATAGATAGATATTACCAGCAATAAAAATTTTGTCGGTATTAAATAACCCATTGAGGTTGATATGACGTAAAAAAACAAAACAAAAACCAATATATAAAAAAGAATAGATAGATAGATAGATAGATAGATAGAAAAATAAAATGACAATAAAAATTTTAAGTATTAGATAACCCATTGAGGTTGATATGACGTAAAACAAAACAAACCAATATAAACTAAATATATAGATTAAGATAGATAGATAGATATTAGATAGATAAATATTACCACTTCCAATAAAAATTTTGTCATATATTAGATAACCCATTGAGGTTGATATGACGCAAAAAAAACAAAACAAACCAATATATAACTAAAAAAATAGATAGATAGATAGATAGATAGATGAAATAGATAGAAATTATATTACCAAAAAATTTTGTCAGCATTAAATAACCCATTGAGGTTGATATTTAAAAAAAAACAAAACAAACCAATATATACTGGAAAGATAGATAGATAGATAATAGATAAGATGGCCGAAAAATATTACCAGCAATGAAAAAATTTTGTCAGTATTAGATAACCCATTGAGGTTGATATGGTTTAAAAAAATAAAACAAACCAATATATACTAAAAGAATAGATAGATAGATAGATAGATAGATATTACAAAGCAATGAAAAAATTTTGTCAGTATTAAATAACCCATTAAGGTTGATATGACGTAAAAAACAAAACAAACCAAAACCAAGATAGATAGATAGATAGATAGATAGATAGATAGATAAATAGATAGATAGATATTGACGTACCAGCAATAAAAATTTTGTCAGTATTAGATAACCCACAAGGTTGATATGACGTAAAACAAAACAAACCAATATATACTAAGATAGATAAAATGATAGATGATAGATAGATAAAAATATTACCAGCAATAAAAATTTTGTCAGTATTAAATAACCCATTGAGGTTGATATGACGTAAAACAAAACAAACCAATATATACTAAAAAGAAGATAGATAGATAGATAGATAGATAGATAGATAGATAGATATTACCAGCAAAAAAAATTTTGTCAGCATTAAATAACCCATTGAGGTTGATATGACGTAAAACAAAACAAACCAATATATAATAATATACTAAAGATAGATATAGATAGATAGAATAGATAAAATGAAAAATAAAATATTGAGGTTGATATAAAAATTTTGTCAAACAAAGATAATAAAAGATAAATTGAGGTTGATATGACGATAAAACAAAACAAACCAATATATACAAAAGAAACCATAGAAAAGAATAGATAGATAGATAGATAGATGATATTACCAGCAATAAAAATTTTGTGGTATTAGATAACCCATTGAGGTTGATATGACGTAAAACAAAAAAAAACAAAACCAATAATATAGATAAATAGATAGATAGATAGATAGATAGATAGATATTACCAGCAATAAAAATTTTGTCAGTATTAGATAACCCATTGAGGTTGATATGACGTAAAAACAAAACAAACCAATATAATTAAGATAGATAGATAGATAGATAGATATAAATAGATAGATAGAATTACCAGCAATAAAATTTTTGTCAGTATTAGATAACCCATTGAGGTTGATATGACGTAAAAAAACAAAAACAAACCAATATATAGAAGAATGAATAGATAGATAGATAGATAGATAGATAGATAGATATTACCAGCAAAAAAAAATTTTGTCAGTATTAGATAACCCATTGAGGTTGATATGACGTAAAAAAACAAAACAAACCAATATATACTAAGATAGATAGATAGATAGAATAAAATTTTGTGAGTAATTAAAAATCCCACCACTTTCTTGATAAAGAAACCATTCAAAAAATTTTGTCTAAAAATTAGATAACCCATTAAATAGTTGATATGACGTAAAAAAACAAACAAAATTTACAAAAGATTTTTCAATAGATAAACCAAAGAAACAAACCAAGATAGAAACAATAAATATTACCAGCAATAAAAAATAAAAATTTTTCAGCATTAGATAACCCATTGAGGTTGATATGACGTAAAAACAAAACAAACCAATATATACTAAGAAGAATAGATAGATAGATAGATAGATAGATAGATAGATAGAATTACCAGCAATAAAAATTTTGTCAGTTATTAGATAACCCATTGAGGTTGATATGACGTAAAACAAAACAAACCAAAACTAAGATAAACTAAGATAATAGATAGATAGATAGATAGATAGATAGATTTACCAGCAATAAAAATTTTGTCAGTATTAAATAACCCATTGAGGTTGATATGACGTAAAAAAAAAACAAACAAATATACTAACAAAGAATAGATATTTGATAGATAGACAGAAACAAAAAAAAACCAATATTAGATAACCCATTGAGGTTGATATGACGTAAAAAAAAAACAAACCAATAAATAAGATAGATAGATAGATGAATAGATAAACAATATTATCCAATAAAAAATTTTGTCAAATTAGATAACCCATTGAGGTTGATATGACGTAAAACAAAACAAACCAATATATACTAAAAGATAGATAGATAGATAGATAGATAGATAGATAATATTACCAGCAATAAAAATTTTGTCAGCATTAGATAACCCATTGAGGTTGATATGACGTAAAACAAAAAAAACCAATAAACTAAGAAAGATAGATAGATAGATAGATAGATAGATAGATAGATAGATAGATATTACCAGCAATAAAAATTTTGTTGATATTAAATAACCCATTGAGGTTGATATGACGTAAAAAAACAAAACAAACCAATATATACCAAGATAGATGAAATAGATAGATAAAAGATAGATAGATTACCAGCAAAAAAAATTTTGTCAGTATTAGATAACCCATTGAGGTTGATATGACGTAAAAAAAACAAAACAAACCAATATAAGATAGATAGATAGATAGATAGATAGATAGATAGATATTACCAGCAAACAAAAAAATTTTGTCAGTATTAGATAACCCATTGAGGTTGATATGACGTAAAACAAAACAAACCAATATATACTAAGATAGATATAGATAGATAGATAATAGATAGATAGATATTACCAGCAATAAAAATTTTGTCAGCATTAGATAACCCATTGAGGTTGATATGACGTAAAACAAAACAAACCAATATATACTAAAGATAGATAGAAGATAGATAGATAGATAGATAGATAGATAGATATTACCAGCAAAAAAATTTTGTCAGTATTAGATAACCCATTGAGGTTGATATGACGTAAAAAAAAAAACAAACCAATATATACTAAGAAGATAGATAGATAGATAGATAGATAGATAGAGATACCAGCAATAAAAAAATTTTGTCAGTATTAGATAACCCATTGAGGTTGATATGACGTAAACAAAAAACCAAACCAAATATATATAAGAAGAAGATAGATAGATAGATAGATAGAGATATTACCAAAGCAATAAAAAATTTTGTTTAAAATTAAATAAACCCATTGAGGTTGATATGACGTAAAAACAAAACAAACCAAATATACTAAGATAGATAGATAGATAGATAGATAGATAGATAGATAGATAGATATTACCAGCAATAAAAAATTTTGTCAGCATTAAATAACCCATTGAGGTTGATATGACGTAAAAAAAAAAAACAAACCAATATATAGATGAAATAGATAGATGAAAAGATAGATAGATAGATAGATAGAATATTACCAGCAATAAAAATAATAGATAGATGAATGGTATTAGATAACCCATTGAGGTTGATATGACGTAAAACAAAACAAAACCAATATATACTAAGATAGATAGAAGATAGATAGATAGATAGATAGATATTACCAGCAATAAAAATTTTGTCAGCATTAGATAACCCATTGAGGTTGATATGACGTAAAAACAAAACAAACCAATATAAATAAACCAAGATAGATAGATAGATAGATAGATATGAATATTACCAGCAAAAAAATTTTGTCAGTATTAAATAACCCATTGAGGTTGATATGACGTAAAACAAAAACAAACCAATATATAAAAAGATAGATAGATAGATAGATAGATAGATAGATGAAAGATATTACCAGCAATAAAAATTTTGTCAGTATTAGATAACCCATTGAGGTTGATATGAAAAAAAAAAAACAAACCAATATATATATAGAAGTAATAGAAATAGATAGATAGATAGAAGAGATAGATATTACCAGCAATAAAAAATTTTGTCAGCATTAGATAACCCATTGAGGTTGATATGACGTAAAAAAAAAAACAAAATAAATATATAATAAGAAAGATAGATAGATAGATAGATAGATAGATAGATAGATATTACCAGCAAAAAAATTTTGTCAGACATTAAAATAACCCATTGAGGTTGATATGACGTAAAAAAAAAAAACAAACCAATATACTAAGAAAATAGATAGATAGATAGATAGATAGATAAATGAAGATATTACCAGCAATAAAAATTTTGTCAGCATTAGATAACCCATTGAGGTTGATATGACGTAAAAAAAAAAAACCAACCAATATATAAAGAAGATAGATAGATAGATAGATAGATAGATAGATAAACAAAAGATAAATATTACCAAAGAAATAAAAAGACAATGAAAGCATTAGATAACCCATTGAGGTTGATATGACGTAAAACAAAACAAACCAATATATACTAAGATAGAAGATAGATAGATAGATAGATAATAGATATTACCAGCAATAAAAAATTTTGTCAGTATTAGATAACCCATTGAGGTTGATATGACGTAAAACAAAACAAACCAATATATACAAAGATAGAAGATAGATAGATAGATAGATGAAGATAGATATTACCAGCAATAAAAATTTTGTCAGTATTAAATAACCCATTGAGGTTGATATGACGTAAAACAAAAACAAAACAAAAATATACTAAATAATAGATAGAAGATAGATAGATAGATAGATAGATGAGATATTACCAGCAATAAAAATTTTGTCGGCATTAAATAATAATCCATTGAGGTTGATATGACGTAAAAACAAAACAAACCAATATATAAAATAAAGATAGATAGATAGATAGATAGATAGATAGATAGATATTACCAGCAACAAAAAAATTTTGTCAGCATTAGATAACCCATTGAGGTTGATATGTTTAAAACAAAACAAACCAAATACCAACTATAGATAGATAGAAGATAATAGATAGATAGATAGATAGATAGATATTACCAGCAATAAAAATTTTGTCAGCATTAGATAACCCATTGAGGTTGATATGACGTAAAAAAACAAAACAAACCAATATATACTAAGATAGAAAGATAGATAGATAGATAGATAGATAGATAGATAGATATTACCAGCAATAAAAATTTTGTCAGCATTAAATAACCCATTGAGGTTGATATGACGTAAAAAACAAAACAAACCAAATATACAATAGATAGATAGAAGATAGATAGATAGATAGATAGATATTATTACCATCCTAAAAAATTTTGTCAGTATTAGATAACCCATTGAGGTTGATATGACGTAAAAAACAAAAACAAACCAATATATAGATAAGATAGATAGATAGATAGATAGATAGATAGATAAAAAAAAAAAATATTACCAGCAATAAAAAATTTTGTCAGCATTAGATAACCCATTGAGGTTGATATGACGTAAACAAAAACAAACCAATATAACTAAGATAAAGATAGATAGATAGATAGATAGATAGATAGAATAGAAGATATTACCAGCAATAAAAATTTTGTCAGCATTAGATAACCCATTGAGGTTGATATGACGTAAAACAAAACAAACCAATATATACTAAGATAGATAGAAAAAGATAGATAGATAAAAAAAAGATAAATGATAGATAGATATTACCAGCAGCAATAAAAATTTTGTCAGCAATTAGATAACCCATTGAGGTTGATATGACGTAAAACAAAACAAACCAAACCAATATATAAGATAGATAGATAGATAGATAGATAGATAGATAGAGATAGATATTACCAGCAATAAAAATTTTGTCAGTATTAGATAACCCATTGAGGTTGATATGACGTAAAACAAAACAAACAAAATATATACTAAAGATAGATAGATAGATAGATAGATAGATAGATAGATATTACCAGCAATAAAAATTTTGTCAGCAAATTAGATAACCCATTGAGGTTGATATGACGTAAAACAAAACCAAACCAAATATAATATAAGATAGATAGATAGATAGATAGATAGATAGATAGATATTACCAGCAATAAAAATTTTGTCATTATTAGATAAACCCATTGAGGTTGATATGACGTAAAACAAAACAAACCAATATATACTAAGATAGATAGATAGATAGATAGATAGATAGATAGATATTACCAGCAATAAAAATTTTGTCAGTATTAGATAACCCATTGAGGTTGATATGACGTAAAACAAAACAAACCAATATATACTAAGATAGATAGATAGATAGATAGATAGATAGATAGATAGATAGATAGATAGATATTACCAGCAATAAAAATTTTGTCAGCATTAGATAACCCATTGAGGTTGATATGACGTAAAACAAAACAAACCAATATATACTAAGATAGATAGATAGATAGATAGATATTACCAGCAATAAAAATTTTGTCAGTATTAGATAACCCATTGAGGTTGATATGACGTAAAACAAAACAAACCAATATATACTAAGATAGATAGATAGATAGATAGATAGATAGATAGATAGATAGATAGATATTACCAGCAATAAAAATTTTGTCAGTATTAGATAACCCATTGAGGTTGATATGACGTAAAACAAAACAAACCAATATATACTAAGATAAGATAGATAGATAGATAGATAGATAGATAGATAGATATTACCAGCAATAAAAATTTTGTCAGCATTAGATAACCCATTGAGGTTGATATGACGTAAAACAAAACAAACCAATATATACTAAGATAGATAGATAGATAGATAGATAGATAGATAGATAGATGATATTACCAGCAATAAAAATTTTTTGTCAGCATTAGATAACCCATTGAGGTTGATATGACGTAAAAACAAAACAAACCAATATATACTAAGATAGATAGATAGATAGATAGATAGATAGATAGATAGATATTACCAAGCAGCAAAAAAATTTTGTCAGCATTAGATAACCCATTGAGGTTGATATGACGTAAAAAAAAAAAACAAACCAATATATACTAAGAAGATAGATAGATAGATAGATAGATAGATAGATATTACCAGCAATAAAAATTTTGTCAGTATTAGATAACCCATTGAGGTTGATATGACGTAAAAAAAACAAAACAAACCAATATATACTAAGATAGATAGATAGAGAGATAGATAGATAGATAGATATTATTACCAGCAATAAAAATTTTGTCAGCATTAGATAACCCATTGAGGTTGATATGACGTAAAAACAAAACAAACCAATATATACTAAGATAGATAGATAGAATATAGATAGATAGATATTACCAGCAATAAAAAATTTTGTCAGCATTAGATAACCCATTGAGGTTGATATGACGTAAAACAAAACAAACCAATATATACTAAGATAGATAGATAGATAGATAGATAGATAGATAGATAGATATTACCAGCAATAAAAATTTTGTCAGCATTAGATAACCCATTGAGGTTGATATGACGTAAAACAAAAAAACAAACCAATATATACTAAGATAGATAGATAGATAGATAGATAGATAGATATTACCAGCAACAAAAAATTTTGTCAGCATTAGATAACCCATTGAGGTTGATATGACGTAAAACAAAACAAACCAATATACTAAGATAGATAGATAGATAGATAGATAGATAGATAGATAGATATTACCCAGCAACAAAAAATTTTGTCAGCATTAGATAACCCATTGAGGTTGATATGACGTAAAACAAAACAAACCAATATATACTAAGATAGATAGATAGATAGATAGATAGATAGATAGATAGATATTACCAGCAATAAAAATTTTGTCAGTATTAGATAACCCATTGAGGTTGATATGACGTAAAACAAAACAAACCAATATATACTAAGATAGATAGATAGATAGATAGATAGATAGATAGATATTACCAGCAATAAAAATTTTGTCAGCATTAGATAACCCATTGAGGTTGATATGACGTAAGACAAAAAAAACAAAACAAAACCTAAACAATATAAATAAGATAGATAGATAGATAGATAGATAGATAGATAGAATATTACCAGCAATAAAAATTTTGTCAGCATTAGATAACCCATTGAGGTTGATATGACGTAAAACAAAACAAAACAAACCAATATATACTAAGATAGATAGATAGATAGATAGATAGATAGATAGATATTACCAGCAATAAAAATTTTGTCAGTATTAGATAACCCATTGAGGTTGATATGACGTAAAACAAAACAAACCAATATATACTAAGATAGATAGATAGATAGATAGATAGATAGATAGATAGATAGATATTACCAGCAATAAAAATTTTGTCAGCATTAGATAACCCATTGAGGTTGATATGACGTAAAACAAAACAAACCAATATATACTAAGATAGATAGATAGATAGATAGATAGATATTACCAGCAATAAAAATTTTGTCAGCATTAGATAACCCATTGAGGTTGATATGACGTAAAACAAAACAAACCAATATATACTAAGATAGATAGATAGATAGATAGATAGATAGATATTACCAGCAATAAAAATTTTGTCAGTATTAGATAACCCATTGAGGTTGATATGACGTAAAACAAAACAAACCAATATATACTAAGATAGATAGATAGATAGATAGATAGATAGATAGATATTACCAGCAATAAAAATTTTGTCAGTATTAGATAACCCATTGAGGTTGATATGAAGTAAAAAAAAACAAACCAATATATACTAAGATAGATAGATAGATAGATAGATAGATAGATAGATATTAGCAGCAATAAAAATTTTGTCAGTATTAGATAACCCATTGAGGTTGATATGACGTAAAAAAAAAAACAAACCAAATATATATAGAAGATAGATAGATAGATAGATAGATAGATAGATAGATAGATATTACCAGCAATAAAAAATTTTGTCAGTATTAGATAACCCATTGAGGTTGATATGACGTAAAACAAAACAAACCAATATATACTAAGATAGATAGATAGATAGATAGATAGATAGATAGATATAAAATATTACCAGCAAAAAAATTTTGTCAGGCATTAGATAACCCATTGAGGTTGATATGACGTAAAACAAAAAAACAAACCAATATATACTAAGATAGATAGATAGATAGATAGATAGATAGATAGATATTACCAGCAATCAAAAAATTTTGTCAGTATTAGATAACCCATTGAGGTTGATATGACGTAAAACAAAAAACCAAACCAATATATACTAAAGATAGATAGATAGATAGATAGATAGATAGATAGATAGATATTACCAGCAATAAAAATTTTGTCAGCATTAGATAACCCATTGAGGTTGATATGACGTAAAACAAAACAAACCAAATAATAATATAGATAGAGATAGATAGATAGATAGATAGATAGATATTACCAGCAATAAAAAATTTTGTCAGTATTAAATAACCCATTGAGGTTGATATGACGTAAAACAAAACAAACCAATATATACCAAGAAGATAGATAGATAGATAGATAGAGATAGATAGATAAGAATATTACCAGCAATAAAAATTTTGTCAGTATTAGATAACCCATTGAGGTTGATATGACGTAAAACAAAACAAACCAATATATACTAAGATAGATAGATAGATAGATAGATAGATAGATAGATATTACCAGCAATAAAAATTTTGTCAGCATTAGATAACCCATTGAGGTTGATATGACGTAAAACAAAACAAACCAATATATATAGATAGAAGATAGATAGATAGATGAGATAAATAGATAGATACTAAATACCAAATAAAAAATTTTGTCAGTCATTAGATAACCCATTGAGGTTGATATGACGTAAAACAAAAAACAAACCAATATATACTAAGATAGATAGAAGATAGATAGATAGATAGATAGATAGATAAAAATTTTGTCAGCATTATATAAAATTTTGATATGACGTAAAAAAAACAAACCCATTGAGGTTGATATATTACGCAATAAAACAAAAATAAACCAATATATAAAAAAACCAATAGATAGATAGATAGATAGATAGATAGACAAGATAAATAAACCAAAATTACCAGCAAAAAAAATTTTGTCAGCATTAGATAACCCATTGAGGTTGATATGACGTAAAACAAAACAAACCAATATATACTAAGATAGAGATAGATAGATAGATAGATAGATAGATAAATAGATACCAGCAATAAAAAATTTTGTCAGCATTAGATAACCCATTGAGGTTGATATGACGTAAAACAAAACAAACCAATATATATACTAAGATAGATAGATAGATAGATAGAGATAGATAGATAGATATTACCAGTAAAACAAAAAAAAATTTTGTCAGTATTAGATAACCCATTGAGGTTGATATAGCAATAAAAAAACAAAACAAACCATTATATTGATATGACGTAAAATAAATAGACCAGATAGATAAATATAGATAGATAGATATTACCAGCAATAAAAATTTTGTCAGTATTAGATAACCCATTGAGGTTGATATGACGTAAAACAAAACAAACCAATATATACTAAGATAGATAGATAGATAGATAGATAGATATTACCAGCAATAAAAATTTTGTCAGCATTAGATAACCCATTGAGGTTGATATGACGTAAAAACAAAACAAACCAACCAATATATAAAGAAGATAGATAGATAGATAGATAGATAGATAGATATTACCAGCAATAAAAATTTTGTCAGTATTAGATAACCCATTGAGGTTGATATGACGTAAAACAAAAACAAACCAATATATACTAAGATAAGATAGATAGATAGATAGATAGATAGATACGAGATAGCAATAAAAAGATCAGCATTAGATAACCCATTGAGGTTGATATTAAAACCAAACCAATAATAAAATTTTGATCAGATATTCAATAAAATTTTAGATATTACCACCCAATAAAAATTTTGAGGATAACCCATTGAGGTTGAATGACGTAAAACAAAACAAACCAATATATACTAAGATAGATAGATAAAGAATAGATATATATAGATAGATAGAGATAGATATTATATTACAATAAAAATTTTGTCAGTATTAGATAACCCATTGAGGTTGATATGACGAAAAAAAAAAAAAAACAAACCAATATATACTAAGAAGATAGATAGATAGATAGATAGATAGATAGATATAGATATTAAGCAAAAAATTTTGTCAGTATTAGATAACCCATTGAGGTTGATATGACGTAAAAACAAAACAAACCAATATATACTAAAAGAAGATAGATAGATAGATAGATAGATAGATAGGTTGAATTACCAGCAATAAAAATTTTGTCGGTAAAAATTTGATAACCCATTGAGGTTGATATGACGTAAAACAAAACAAACCAATATATACTAAGATAGATAGATAGATAGATAGATAGATAGATATTATATTACCAGCAATAAAAAATTTTGTCAGTATTAGATAACCCATTGAGGTTGATATGACGTAAAAACAAAACAAACCAATATATACTAAGATAGATAGATAGATAGATAGATAGATAGATAGATAGATATTACCAGCAATAAAAATTTTGTCAGCATTAGATAACCCATTGAGGTTGATATGACGTAAAAACAAAACAAACCAAATATACTAAGATAGATAGATAGATATAGATAGATAGATAGATAATATTACCAGCAATAAAAAAATTTTGTCAGTATTAGATAACCCATTGAGGGTTGATATGACGTAAAAACAAAACAAACCAATATATACTAAGATAATAGATAGATAGATAGATATTACCAGCAATAAAAATTTTGTCGGCATTAGATAACCCATTGAGGTTGATATGACGTAAAAAAAAACAAAACAATATAACCAAAATAGAAGATAGATAGATAGATAGATAGATGATATTACCAGCAATAAAAATTTTGTCAGTATTAGATAACCCATTGAGGTTGATATGACGTAAAACAAAACAAACCAAATATAAAATAGAAGATAGATATGGATAGATAGATAGATTCATAGATAGATATTACCCAATAAAAAATTTTGTCATTATTAGATAACCCATTGAGGTTGATATGACGTAAAACAAAACAAACCAATATATACTAAGATAGATAGAAAGATAGATAGATAGATAGATATAGATATTACCAGCAAAAAAAATTTTGTCAGTATTAGATAACCCATTGAGGTTGATATGACGTAAAACAAAACAAACCAATATATACTAAATACTAAGATAGATAGATAGATAGATAGATAGATAGATATTACCATTACCAGCAAAAAATTTTGTCAGTATTAGATAACCCATTGAGGTTGATATGACGTAAAACAAAAAACAAACCAATATATACTAAGAAGATAGATAGATAGATAGATAGATAGATAGATATTACCAGCAATAAAAATTTTGTCAGCATTAGATAACCCATTGAGGTTGATATGACGTAAAACAAAACAAACCAATATATACTAAGATAGATAGATAGATAGATAGATAGATAGATAGATAGATACCAGCAATAAAAAAATTTTGTCAGTATTAGATAACCCATTGAGGTTGATATGACGTAAAACAAAACAAACCAATATATACTAAGATAGATAGATAGATAGATAGATAGATAGATAGATATTACCAGCAATAAAAATTTTGTCAGTATTAGATAACCCATTGAGGTTGATATGACGTAAAACAAAACAAACCAATATATACTAAGATAGATAGATAGATAGATAGATAGATAGATAGATAGATATTACCAGCAATAAAAATTTTGTCAGTATTAGATAACCCATTGAGGTTGATATGACGTAAAACAAAAAATAAACCAATATATAGATAGAAGATAGATAGATAGATAGATAGATAGATATTACCAGCAATAAAAAATTTTGTCAGTATTAGATAACCCATTGAGGTTGATATGACGTAAAACAAAACAAACCAATATATAAAGATAGAAGATAGATAGATAGATAGATAGATAGATATTACCAGCAATAAAAATTTTGTCAGCATTAGATAACCCATTGAGGTTGATATGACGTAAAAAAAAAAAACAAACCAATCTAAAAGAAAGATAGATAGATAGATAGATAGATAGATAGATATTACCAATAAAAAATTTTGTCAGTATTAGATAACCCATTGAGGTTGATATGACGTAAAACAAAACAAACCAATATATACAAAGAAGATAGATAGATAGATAGATAGATAGATAAAAAGATAGATAGATATTACAAAATAAACCAATCTAAAAAATTTTTCAGTATGGCATTAGATAACCCATTGAGGTTGATATGACGTAAAAAAACAAAACAAACCAATATATACCAGATAGATAGATAGATAGATAGATAGATAGATATTACCAGCAATAAAAAATTTTGTCAGTATTAGATAACCCATTGAGGTTGATATGACGTAAAACAAAAACAAACCAATATATACTAAAGATAGATAGATAGATAGATAGATAGATATTACCAGCAATAAAAATTTTGTCAGTATTAGATAACCCATTGAGGTTGATATGACGTAAAACAAAACAAAAACCAATATATAGATAGATAGATAGATAGATAGATAGATAGATAGATAGATATTACCAGCAATAAAAAAATAAACCAAATTAGATAACCCATTGAGGTTGATATGACGTAAAAACAAAAACAAACCAATATATACTAAAAACAAAAAACCAATAGATAGATAGATAGATAGATAGATAGATAGATAGATCTATTACCAGCAGCAAAAAATTTTGTCAGTATTAAATAACCCATTGAGGTTGATATGACGTAAAAAAAAAACAAACCAATATATACTAAAAGAATAGATAGATTAGATGATGATAGAATTCCATCCAAAAAAAAATTTTAGATTAAATAACCCATTGAGGTTGATATGACGATAAGATAGATAAGAATAGATAGATAGATAGAAGATATTACCAGCAAAAAAATTTTGTCAGTATTAGATAACCCATTGAGGTTGATATGACGTAAAACAAAAAAACAAACCAATATATACTAAGAAGATAGATAGATAGATAGATAGATAAAAAGATAGATAGATATTACCAGCAAAAAAAAATTTTGTCAGTATTAGATAACCCATTGAGGTTGATATGACGTAAAAAAACAAAACAAACCAATATATACTAAGAAAGATAAATAAACCAAGATAAATAGAAAGAATAGATATACGAACCAGCAATAAAAATTTTGTCGGCATTAAATAACCCATTGAGGTTGATATGACGTAAAAAAAACAAAACAAAACCAATATATACTAAGAAGATAGATAGATATAGATAGATAGAATATTAGCAATAAAAATTTTGTCGGCATTAAATAACCCATTGAGGTTGATATGACGTAAAACAAAAAAACAAACCATAAACCAAATAACCCATTGAGGTTGATATTATCCAACAAAAATCTTTTTGTCATTAAATAACCCATTGAGGTTGATATGACGTAAAACAAAACAAACCAATATATATAAGATAAAAGATAGAAGATAGATAGATAGATAGATAGATAGATAGATATTACCAGCAATAAAAATTTTGTCAGTATTAGATAACCCATTGAGGTTGATATGACGTAAAACAAAACAAACCAAATATATAAAAGATAGATAGATAGATAGATAGATAGATAGATATTACCAGCAATAAAATTTTGTTGGCATTAGATAACCCATTGAGGTTGATATGACGTAAAAAACAAAAACAAACCAATATATACTAAGATAGATAGATCAGATAGATATTACCAGCAATAAAAATTTTTTGTCAGTATTAAATAACCCATTGAGGTTGATATGACGTAAAAAAAAAAACAAACCAATATATAAAGATAGATAGATAGATAGATAGATAGATGAATATTACCAGCAATAAAAATTTTGTCAGTATTAGATAACCCATTGAGGTTGATATGACGTAAAAAAAAAAACAAACCAATATATACTAAAACCAAAGATAGATAGATAGATAGATAGATAGATATTACCATCAATAAAAATTTTGTCAGCATTAGATAACCCATTGAGGTTGATATGACGTAAAACAAAACAAACCAAATATAAGATAGAAAGAATAGATAGATAGATAGATAGATAGAAGATATTACCAGCAAAAAAAAATTTTGTCAAAGTATTAGATAACCCATTGAGGTTGATATGACGTAAAACAAAACAAACCAAATATATAAAAAGATATTCTAGATAGATAGATAATAGATAGATAGATAGATAGATATTACCAGCAATAAAAAAATTTTGTCAGTATTAGATAACCCATTGAGTTGATTGATATGACGTAAAAACAAAACAAACCAATATATACTAAGATAGATAGATAGATAGATAGATAGATAGATAGATAGATAGAAATTACCAGCAATAAAAAATTTTGTCAGTATTAGATAACCCATTGAGGTTGATATGACGTAAAAAAAAAAAACAAACCAATATATAGATAAGATAGATAGATCCTAAAAATTTTGTTGGATTAGATAGAGGTTGATATGACGTAAAACAAAACAAACCAAATAAATAAAATAGTTAGATACATACCAGCCAAAAAATTTTGTCAGTATTAAATAACCCATTGAGGTTGATATGACGTAAAACAAAAATAAACAAAACAAACCAATATATACTAAGATAGATAGATAGATAGATGATAGATAGATAGATAGATAGATAGATATTACCAGCAATAAAAATTTTGTCAATTAGATAACCCATTGAGGTTGATATGACGTAAAAACAAAACAAACCAATATATACTAAGATAGATAGAGATAGAGATAGATAGATAGATAGATAGATAGATATTACCAGCAATAAAAATTTTGTCAGTATTAGATAACCCATTGAGGTTGATATGACGTAAAAAAAAAACAAACCAATATATACTAAGAAGATAGATAGATAGATAGATAGATAGATAGATATTACCAGCAATAAAAATTTTGTCAGCATTAGATAACCCATTGAGGTTGATATGACGTAAAAAAAAAACAAACCAATATATACTAAGATAGATAGATAGATAGATAGAAATTTACCAGATATAAAAAACCCATTGATGATATGAGGTTGAAACAAAAAAAACCAATTTGTCTAAGATTAGATAACCCATTGAGGTTGATATGACCATAAAAAAAAACAAACCAATATATACTGACGTAAAAGTAAAACAAAATAAACCAAAGATAGAGACCAATAGATAGATAGATAGATAGATATTACCAGCAATAAAAATTTTGTCAGTATTAGATAACCCATTGAGGTTGATATGACGTAAAACAAAAAAACAAACCAATATATACTAAAAGATAGATAGATAGATAGATAGATAGATAGATAGATATTACCAGCAATAAAAAATTTTGTCAGTATTAGATAACCCATTGAGGTTGATATGACGTAAAAAACAAAACAAACCAATATATATAAAGATAGATAGAAAGATAGATAGATAGATAGATAGATAGATAATACCAGCAGCAAAAAATTTTGTCAGTATTAGATAACCCATTGAGGTTGATATGACGTAAAAAAAAAAACAAACCAATATATACTAAGATAGATAGATAGATAGATAGATAGATAGATAGATAGATATTACCAGCAATAAAAAATTTTGTCAGTATTAGATAACCCATTGAGGTTGATATGACGTAAAACAAAACAAACCAATATATACTAAAGATAGATAGATAGATAGATAGATAGATAGATAGATATTACCAGCAATAAAAAATTTTGTCAGTATTAGATAACCCATTGAGGTTGATATAAACAAAACAAAAAAAAAACCAATACTAAAGAAAGATAGATAGATAGATAGATAGATATTACCAGCAATAAAAATTTTGTCAGTATTAGATAACCCATTGAGGTTGATATGACGTAAAACAAAACAAACCAATATATACTAAGATAGATAGATAGATAGATAGATAGATAGATATTACCAGCAATAAAAATTTTGTCAGTATTAGATAACCCATTGAGGTTGATATGACGTAAAACAAAACAAACCAATATATACTAAGATAGATAGATAGATAGATAGATAGATAGATAGATAGATATTACCAGCAACAAAAAAAAATTTTGTCAGTATTAGATAACCCATTGAGGTTGATATGACGTAAAACAAAACAAACCAAATATATACTAAGATAGATAGATAGATAGATAGATAGATAGATAGATATTACCAGCAATAAAAAATTTTGTCAGTATTAGATAACCCATTGAGGTTGATATGACGTAAAACAAAAACAAACCAATATATACCAAAGATAGATAGATAGATAGATAGATAGATAGATATTACCAGCAAAAAAATTTTGTCAGTATTAGATAACCCATTGAGGTTGATATGACGTAAAACAAAACAAACCAATATATACTAAGATAGAGATAGATAGATAGATAGATATTCAGATAGATATTACCAGCAATAAAAATTTTGTCAGTATTAGATAACCCATTGAGGGTTGATATGACGTAAAAAACAAAACAAACCAATATATACTAAGAAGATAGATAGATAGATAGATAGATAGATAGATATTACCCAATAAAAATTTTGTCAGCATTAGATAACCCATTGAGGTTGATATGACGTAAAACAAAACAAACCAATATATACTAAGAAGAATAGATAGATAGATATAGATAGATATTACCAGCAATAAAATTTTGTGATATTAGATAACCCATTGAGGTTGATATGACGTAAAACAAAACAAACCAATATATACTAAGATAGATAGATAGATAGATAGATAGATAGATAGATAGATATTACCAGCCAAAAAAATTTTGTCAGTATTAGATAACCCATTGAGGTTGATATGACGTAAAAACAAAACAAACCAATATATACTAAGATAGATAGATAGATAGATAAAATAGATAGATAGATATTACCAGCAATAAAAATTTTGAAGTATTAAATAACCCATTGAGGTTGATATGACGTAAAACAAAACAAACCAATATATACTAAGATAGATAGATAGATAGATAGATATTAGATAGATAGAATTACCAGCAATAAAAATTTTGTCAGTATTAGATAACCCATTGAGGTTGATATGACGTAAAACAAAACAAACCAAATATACTAAGATAAATAATAGATAGATAGATAGATAGAAGATAGAATTACCAGCAACAAAAAATTTTGTCAGTATTAGATAACCCATTGAGGTTGATATGACGTAAAACAAAACAAACCAATATATACCTAAGATAGATAGATAGATAGATAGATAGATAGATAGATATCATATTACCAGCAATAAAAATTTTGTCAGTATTAGATAACCCATTGAGGTTGATATGACGTAAAACAAAACAAACCAATATATACTAAGATAGATAGATAAGATAGATAGATAGATAGATAGATAGAATTACCAGCAAAAAAAAAATTTTGTCAGTATTAGATAACCCATTGAGGTTGATATGACGTAAAACAAAACAAACCAATATACAACTAAGATAGATAGATAGATAGATAGATAGATAGAGATAGATATTACCAGCAATAAAAAATTTTGTCAGTATTAGATAACCCATTGAGGTTGATATGACGTAAAAAAACAAAACAAACCAATATATACTAAGATAGATAGATAGATAGATAGATAGATAGATAGATATTACCAGCAAAAAAAAATTTTGTCAGTATTAGATAACCCATTGAGGTTGATATGACGTAAAACAAAACAAACCAAATATATAAGATAGAAGATAGATAGATAGATAGATAGATAACCCATTGAGGTTGATACTGAAAAAAAAATTATGAATAACGTAAAAAAAACAAACCAAAAAATAAACCAAACCAAAATGAAAACCAAAGATAGATAATACCAGAATTTATCAATAAAAAATTTTGTCAGTATTAGATAACCCATTGAGGTTGATATGACGTAAAACAAAACAAACCAATATATACCAAGATAGAAGATAGATAGATAGATAGATAGATAGAATAGAATATTACCAGCAAAAAAAATTTTGTCAGTATTAGATAACCCATTGAGGTTGATATGACGTAAAAAAAAAACAAACCAATATAAACTAAGATAGATAGATAATAGATAGATAGATAGATAGATAGATATTACCAGCAATAAAAATTTTGTCAGCATTAGATAACCCATTGAGGTTGATATGACGTAAAAACAAAAACAAACCAATATATACTAAGATAGATAGATAGATAGATAGATAGATAGATATTACCAGCAAAAAAAATTTTGTCAGTATTAGATAACCCATTGAGGTTGATATGACGTAAAAAAAAAAAACAAACCAATATATACTAAGATAGATAGATAGATAGATGAATAAAATAGATAGATAGATAGATAGATATTACCAGCAATAAAAAATTTTGTCAGTAAAATTAGATAACCCATTGAGGTTGATATGACGTAAAAAAAAAACAAACCAATATATACTAAATAGATAGATAGATAGATAGATAGATATGATAAAATATTATTACAGCAATAAAAATTTTGTCAGTATTAGATAACCCATTGAGGTTGATATGACGTAAAACAAAACAAACCAATATATACTAAGATAGATAGATGAAGATAGAGATAGATAGATAGATAGATATTACCAGCAAAAAAATTTTGTCAGTATTAGATAACCCATTGAGGTTGATATGACAAAAACAAAACAAACCAAACCAATATATAGATAGATAGATAGATAGATAGAGATAGATAGATATTACCAGCAAAAAAATTTTGTCAGTATTAGATAACCCATTGAGGTTGATATGACGTAAAACAAAACAAACCAAATAAATATACTAAGATAGATAGATAGATAGATAGATATTACCAGCAATAGATTAGATAACCCATTGAGGTTATGACGTAAAACAAAAACAAACCAAACCTAAATACTAAAGATAAAGAAGAAAATTTTAGATAGACAATGATATTTACCAGCATTAAAAATTTTGTCCCATTAAATAACCCATTGAGGTTGATATGACGTAAAACAAAACAAACCAATATATACTAAGATAGATAGATAGATAGATAGATAGATAGATATTACCAGCAATAAAAAATTTTGTCAGTATTAGATAACCCATTGAGGTTGATATGACGTAAAAAACAAAACAAACCAATATATAAAAGATAAGATAGATAGATAGAGATAGATATTACCAGCAATAAAATTTTGTCAGTATTAGATAACCCATTGAGGTTGATATGACGTAAAAAAAAAAACCAAACCAATATATACCAAAGAAGAAGAGATAAGAATAAAATTTGTCGTTTTTAAACCAATTTTGAATATAGTAAAATAAAAAATATTTGATCAGATATTACCAATAGATTGAGCCTAAAATCTAAAAAAATTTTGTCGGCATTAAATAACCCATTGAGATATGCTTTAAAACAAAACAAACCAAATAAACTAAACCAATAGATAGATAGATAGATAGATAAATTTTATTTCAGCAATAAAATTTTGTCAGTATTAGATAACCCATTGAGGTTGATATGACGTAAAACAAAACAAACCAATATATACTAAGACAGATGAGAAGATAGATAGATAGATAGATAGATAGATATTACAAAAATAAAAATTTTGTCAGTATTAGATAACCCATTGAGGTTGATATGACGTAAAACAAAACAAACCAATATATACTAAGATAGATAGATAGATAGATAGATAGATAGATAGATAGATAGATATTACCAGCAATAAAAATTTTGTCATTAAAAATTTTTAATAACCCATTGAGGTTGATATGAAACAAAACAAAAACAAACCAATATATACTAAGATAGATAGATAGATAGATAGATAGATAGATAGATAGATATTACCAGCAATAAAAATTTTGTCAGTATTAGATAACCCATTGAGGTTGATATGACGTAAACAATTTTTGTAAAAAAACTAAAATAGATAGATAGATATAGATAGATAATAGATATACCACAATAAAAAAGATTAGATAACCCATTGAGGTTGATATTTTAAAAACAAAACAAACCAATATATACTAAGATAGATAGAAGATAGATAGATAGATAGATAGATAGATAGAAAAATTACCAACAATAAAAATTTTGTCAGTATTAAATAACCCATTGAGGTTGATATGACGTAAAACAAAACAAACCAATATATACTAAGATAGAAGATAGATAGATAGATAGATAGAAGAAAAATTACCAGCAATAAAAATTTTGTCAGTATTAGATAACCCATTGAGGTTGAAATGACGTAAAACAAAACAAACCAATATATATAAATAAGATAGATAGATAGATAGATAGATAGATGATAGATATTACCACCAACAAAAAATTTTGTCAGTATTAGATAACCCATTGAGGTTGATATGACGTAAAAAAAAAACAAACCAATATATACTAAGATAGATAGATAGATAGATAGATAGATAGATAGATGAAAAATATTACCAGCAATAAAAATTTTGTCAGTATTAGATAACCCATTGAGGTTGATATGACGTAAAACAAAACAAAACCAATAAACTAAATATATAATATAGATAGATAGATAGATAGATAGATAGATAGATAGATATTACCAGCAATAAAAATTTTGTCAATTATTAGATAACCCATTGAGGTTGATATGACGTAAAAAAAAAAACAAACCAATATATACTAAGATAGATAGATAGATAGATAGATAGATAGATAAATAATAGATAACCAAAAAATTTTTGTCAGTATTAGATAACCCATTGAGGTTGATATGACGTAAAACAAAAACAAACCAATATATACTAAGATAGATAGATAGATAGATAGATAGATAGATAGATAGAATATTACCAGCAATAAAAATTTTGTCAGGCATAGATAACCCATTGAGGTTGATATGACGTAAAACAAAAACAAACCAATATATACTAAATTAAGATAGATAGATAGATAGATAAAGATAGATAGATAAAATATAAGCAATAAAAAAATTTTGTCAAATTAAATAACCCATTGAGGTTGATATGACGTAAAACAAAATAAACCAATAATATATATATATAATAGATAGATAGATAGATATTACCAGCAATAAAAAATTTTGTCATATTAGATAACCCATTGAGGTTGATATGACGTAAAACAAAACAAACCAATATATACTAAGATAAATAGATAGATAGATAGATAGATAGATATTACCAGCAAGAAAAAATTTTGTTTTATTAGATAACCCATTGAGGTTGATATGACGTAAAACAAAACAAACCAATATATACCTAAGAAGATAGATAGATAGATAGATAGATAATAGATAGATAGATATTACCAGCAATAAAAATTTTGTCAAAATTAATTCAAACCCATTGTTGGATGATTGAATAGATCCGAAGAATCTATAAAAAAAAAAAAAACAAACCAATATATATAAAACAAAACAAACCAATATTTAAGATTTCAGAGATAGATAGATAGATAGATAGATAGATATATTACCAGCAAAAAAAATTTTGTCAGTATTAGATGAAACCCATTGAGGTTGATATGACGTAAAAACAAAACAAACCAATATAACCAAAAATAGATAGATAGATAGATAGATAGATAGATAGATAGATAGATAGATAGATAGAGTAAAATATTACCAGCAATAAAAATAAATTTTGATAGAAGATAGGCATTGATAAATAACCCATTGAGGTTGATATTTGTAAATTGAAAACAAAACAAACCAATATATACTAAGATAGATAGATAGATTAGATAGATAGATATTACCAGCAATAAAAAATTTTGTCAGTATTAGATAACCCATTGAGGTTGATATGACGTAAAACAAAACAAACCAATATATACTAAGATAGATAGATAGATAGATAGATAGATAGATAGATAGATAGATATTACCAGCAATAAAAATTTTGCCGGCATTGCATAACCCATTGAGGTTGATATGCCGTAAACCAAACCGTGTAATAAAAATGGTGGTATCTTTTATGTCCTTAATATGATTGGAATATTTTTCACATCTGTGTCTCTCAATATTTGTCCAATTTGCATAATTATTCTGGAAGGATCGGATTGTTATTTAATAGCAACTGAAAACTAATCCTCTGCTTTTAGTCTACAGAATCTTATGTTAATACTAGTTTTACCGTTAAAAGTGTCGTTATCTTCCGTTGTATCACATTTCATGTGTGAGTTCACATGTGAGCTCCTGTGTGAGTTCACGTGTGAGTTCACGTGTGAGTTCTTTTTAATATATTTGATCAGTTAGTTGTTTGGCAGTTTGTACGCCCATACACCGTGTCGGTATTTACATCATTCTTACCACAAAAGTCAATAATCATACCAGAAAATTTCGTCCTTTTCCTGACCAGATCACAGAAACTATAAGAACTTGGGCTATGAAATTTTACAAAAGCTGCTATCTCGCATGTCAAAAATCAGTACTGTGAGTGTAGTTTAGTGACCCTTGAGTTATTACAAAATAACACTCCTCGCTCTTATCGTTCTTTGTGTCTCTGTCCTCTAGGGAATTCGGATTCTGTTGATATTTCCTTTGACTCGCCAAAATGAAAAATCAGGAAAAGAAGGCCTAAAAGCTTCCATGCCGGCTTTCATCCAAAAAGAAACTAGCGGCTGAACAGACAGTTTTCAATCGAGGAGAAGATTGTGGTTTTATCTGGCATTTACTGGGAGGCACAGGAGGAGTAATGGATAGAGGCTCGGATTGAGAAATCGGAGAGCCAAGTTCGAATTCCAGTCGAATCCATTACATTCATTTACGAATGCTAATACCCTTGGGAAATTTATGAATCCTCTTTTTTTAGATTAAGCTATGAAAAAATAGCAAGGCAGACCAGGTTCTATAGATATGGATGGCAACTTTCACCGCAGAAAGAAAACGGCAACCTCTTACGTATAAAAAAAAATTGCCTCGTCAGTCATGTATCAAAAGATATACGATCACCTAAGCGTGTATCAGTCATGGCGCATAATTGACAATGACAGAAGCCTCGATGCCGGCTTTAACCCAAGAACCTTCAAAGTCACAATTATCAGCAGGAGATCAAACATTTCACTTTGATATAATCAATATGCATACACCTGGTTCCCCCTCACAGTAATATGATTGGCTGGTGTCAACCATAAATACAGACTGATGTGGAGGTACAGGAACGACGCCTATTGCCTACGCCTATTGCCTACGCCTATTGCCTACCACTACGACGAGGACCAGTCCATTACGGTTACCTTCTAGATTGTCCTACTCGGTTACAGTAGTCCAAAACCACTTTGCTACTTCGAACAAATATATACCTTTCCTGGACATATCACACTTCAATGGGCATCGCAAAGAAAATCGCGAAAATGAATCCTAATCAATACGCTGGCAGCAGAAAGTTTTGTTGTTGTGGACATAAAAAAAAAAAAAAAACTTCTTCAGAATATGACTTGGACTCGTCCATATAGCATATATACTGACGCCGAGAATCGTCAGGAGAGAGCAAGCCGGAAGTGAGCCTTATATCCTTTCTACAGAATTCAATAAGACTACATCGACTCCATGCGACATTAGATTTCATGATTTTGTTATCTTCATTCAATGGAATGAAGACAACACTTATGAATAGGTCGCTTTTTTTTTCTTTTTTTTTTTTTTTTTTTTTGCTACCAGTGTGTCGATCGGGATCATTTTTTTTATGTTCTTCGTGATGCCCCTGCAAGTAAAATCTTAAAATTTCATCACAGTTAAAAATAAAAAAAGACCTTTCTCTTCTTTGACCGACAAAATTTGCATGATACTAGAATTAGTGTCCCTTTAGCCACTAAGACGTTTGATCCCAAATACAACAGACGTAAAAATTTGACTACTACAAAACTAAGAAAAACCAGTCTTCGAATCTCATTACGTAATTTATTTCTTAAAAGAATTCGGGACGGATTCAACAAAAACAAGAATACATAATACAGACAAAATACTAATATTTATGAACTGTGTCACATATCACAATTCAATACACACCAAACAAAATACGTCTTTAAATTTATTACCAACATATAACTGTAGTGAACAATGACAAGATCTAGATTTAAAAATTCAAATGCTAAGCACTGACTCATTGATTTTTTTAGAAATTAAAAAGACTCAAATTACAAACTTTAACACACACGCAAAAGTGAATCCAAAACAAAACTCGTAAAATTTCACACCTTCATGCGAAATGTTTTTCTGCCAATAGAAAACTAGGAAACATTTAAAAACAAAATTCAAATAATCTTCAATTCTCAAAAACAAAATTCTTTTACGGACCTTTTCGCGAGCCGACGCCAAGTTTGTCGTCGTCCAATGGAAAGGCCCGAATCATATCCGGGGGTGAATTCCCAAATGACCACAATCAAAATAAAAGACGGGCAAGTTCGCCTGTCACCAGAGTGAAGGAGACGAGCGTATTAACACGACCATAATTAATTTATATGTATATAAATTTGTTATTTCACTTTACAATTTGTTTTTCTTGTTTTATACTCCTCTTATGGTGGGCTATCTAACTAATGAGGCCAAATCAAACTAATCTGTTTCAACACTCATACACTTCACTATAACTGATAACCCACTATATAACTACATAAAAACAAATGACGTCTCAAATCAATACCCTGTTGTGTTATCTGTTACGAGTTTTTCCTCACAATTCATTTTCAGCATCAACACAGATTTCTCTAGTACAATTTGAAGTTATTTAAAGTTACAATAACTTCTTACGCTTTTTCTTTTATTACTAAAACCCAAATCCAACACTTATATTAGTAGTAATCCCTAATTTGTACTAGTGGTGATATACACTACCAATTGCTTCAATAGTATGCATATAAGGTTCAGTGCTATAAGCAATTTCAGGCATCATTTGAACTATATATTCCCGCAGATAAGCAGGGAAAATATAGATAACGGGTTGCTATTTTTTTCACGGAGTAATCCAAGTAAATAGCATTGACATTTTTATCTATATATAAAATTATGTGACTTCTGTTAGTCCGTCACACATTCTAAAATAGCCACACATTGACCGATCGAAACTAAATTTGGGGGAGACGTGCAAACAGATAAGGGGGTACAAATTACACTTGGTTTTACTTGGGTGCGTAGCTTCGTATAATTAATTTTCATTCGTCTTTTAAAATTAAAAGTTTTATTATTTAACATACAAAATACTCCCACTATTTTAAAAACAATTTAATAATTTAAATAAATATTTATTTAATAAAAATGCAATATTGTTATTTGCATATCTTTTCTTTAAGTTTTTATATATACAAGAATTTCACTCAGCGTTTGCGAGAACTCTAAAGAAATCACAAGGCCAAACGATTCAAAATCTTAGAATTTGGCTCCAGAAATAAATATTTAAATATGGCTAGTTGTATGTTACATGCTCAAGAGTAAGAAATCCTAAGAATTTATTCTTCGCTGTTAAAAGGGAAAAAAAAGAAATTTTCTTAAAAAATATTGTTTACCATGAAGTCTTATAGAATTAAATTAAAGAAATTATTAAACCGCGAAATAGGGTTTTTGTCAAAGTATTTTTCCAAACAAATTCGCTTATTCTTTCGAAAGCGTTCATCGATTGGTTTGTGAAATTGAACGAAACTTAGATTTTGTAAATGTCGACAAAAACGTTAGCGATAAATTCAACAATATTAAATACTGTGAGGATTTCAACGCGCGTCCTCCTTCTCCTCGCCATCTATCACTCCCGAATACACTACAATGCTGATGAGGTACCCAGAGTGGGGAAGGAGAGATTGATCGTCAGTAAAGTACTCCTCAACGGTAATAAAACGAAAATTCAATATGGCCGCTAATGACGATGACGAAGCAGATAATAATGATGATATTAATGATGAACTGTAAAAACATTATATGTTTGTGTTTGTGACAAGTTCTTGACAACATCCAATGTTAAGACTTTATGAGTATTGTTTACACTGGTCGAAAATGAACTGAAACAAGATCGGACACATCATTTGTCTGCTGGTGAAGATGAATTCGATTTGTTCATGGAAAGAGTGGCAGGAAAAAAGAAAAGGAAAACGATAGTGAAAAGGAGATCTAAAAACAAAATAAGAAAGGAGGAGTTAAGAAAAATTATTCGAATGAAAAAGAAGAAAGATGGGACTAAACAAAAATGAATAAGGAAGAAAGAAAGAGACACAGATTAAGCGAAGTAAAAATGAATAAAAAAAGAAAGAGAACGCTTTTAGAACAAAGAAAGAATGAAAGATAGATAAAAAAAAAGATATTTTCTAGCGAAATAAAAAAGAAAGAGAACGCTGTCGAATGAAAGAAAAAAAAGAAAGATATTTTCTAACGAAATCAAAAAGGAGAATGCTTTCGAAAGAAAGACAAAAAAAGATATTTTCTAACGAAATCAAAAGGGAGAATGCTTTCGAAAGAAAGACAAAAAAAGATATTTTCTAACGAAATGAAAACGAAAGAGAACGCTTTAAAAAGAAAGAAAGAAAGAAAGAAAGAAAGATAAAAAAAAGATATTTTCTAACGGAATGAAAACGAATGAGAACGCTTTAAAAAGAAAGGAAAAAAAAGAAAGAAAGATAAAAAGAATATTTTCTAAAGGAATAAAAACGAAAGAGAACGCTTTAAAAAGAAAGAAAGAAAAAAGAAAGATAAAAAAAGACATTTTCTAACGTAATGAAAATGCTTTAAAAAGAAAGGAAGAAAAAAGAAAGAAAGATAAAAAGAATATTTTCTAAAGGAATGAAAACGAAAGAGAACGCTTTAAAAAGAAAGAAAGAAAGATAAAAAAGATATTTTCTAACGGAATGAGAACGAAAGAGAACGCTTTAAAAAGAAAGAAAGAAAAAAGAAAGAAAGATAAAAAAAAGATATTTTCTAACGTAATGAA